CTGGGGAAAAGATTAAACGTCCAACAGTAAGAGAATGACTAAATAAACTATATAGTATTAGTATGTAATGGGGCTGTTACAGAATAACAAAAGTGTGTTTGAAGAATATTTAGTGACATTGGAGATCTTAAATATAAATATTAAATGAAAAAAATGAAATATACTTTATTCTACGTTTCTTTATGAGGTATATATAAAAGGAAGTACATAATGTGTATACGTTCTAAAGCATAATAAAAGGCATACCTGTGAACATACCACACAACTTTACTAAAAGTGTTATGTAATATATAATTAAGAATTTTTTCTATTTAAATATCCCAAAAGATAAGAAGGAATTATTTCAGAATATTAACAATAATTATTTTAGGGAGGGCAGGATTATTATTGATCTTTGATTTTTGCCTAAATACTACTGTTCTTTTTCTAAATTACTTACAAGAGGCATGCATTTTCAAAACCACAAAATATCATTAAACATTATTCATTTAAGGAAGAAAAAAAATTTAAGGTGATTTCTTTCCAACTCCATTTCATTGGAAAGAAACTTCTGAAAGTATCTGCCTCCTGTTATTTCCTGAGTGACAAATCATGGCCAGGTACACAGGGTGGCATTATCTACCATTTCTAGGTAATACAGTATGACAAAGCTCCTGAGAGATGACTGCTACAGGAATTGTGGATGCCCTGTCTTCTAGGACATGTTTGGATGACCTTTACAAAACACATTTAAAAAAATTTGTTTAGATTTTTCATGGTTCATGTCTTCAAGAGAAGATTCATTTTTCATTTAACAAATATTAATCGGGTGCTTTTTGTGACCAAGAGGATCTTTGTTCTTAGGACATTTACCTTGTAGCAGTGAAAGATATTCTTTAAGTAGGCAGGCCAGTGGTGAGACATCAAAAATGATGTTATGAAGAACAGAGAACAGGAAGAGGGACTGATTTAAATTGGTTGGAGGAAATTTAAGCCAGTCTTACAGTGATTTCAGGGTAGAGTGAATAGGATGGGAAACAGTCTGGGAAAGGAAAAGAAAAGGTCAGTGTGGTTGAAATGTGGTAACTAAGAGGAGTAAAATGGCAAGAAATGAAGAAAGCAGGTAAGCAGAGCTAGATCAATGAGGGGACTTAGAAGCTTATAAGAAGTTTGAATTTATACTAACCACAACAGGAAATTGTTGGATGGTGTTAGCAAGAAAATAGCATTATCTAACTCATTTCTAAAAGATTAAAAATACATCTGGCTACTGTGTGGAAGATCAATGTGAAGGATCAAGAATGGGAATGGGGAGACAGTGGCCCAGCTGAGATTTCATGGTGGCCAGAGTGGAAGCATTGGCAAAGGTGAGAAGTAGGTAAATCTAAGGTTTATTTAGAAATAGAGCCAGTGGATCTTGCTGAGTATTGTATGAGAGACTTCAGGAAAGAGTGGAATCAAATTTGGTTTCTAGGATTTAGACAAGCAGCTGAGAAGAATGTATTTATAAAGCTGGACAAAAGGGATCAGGCCAGTTTCAGGGGAAAGTGAGAATTCTAGTTTGAAATGTGGAGTCTGAGCTGCATGTTGAGATGTTGAATAGTCAGATACATGATTTAGGAGCAAGGGAAGATGTTTGGGATGAATGTGAACATTTGTGAATCTTTAGTGTATACGTACAGTAATTAAAGCCATGGGGCAGTATGAGATCACTAAGTGATAAGTAGAGGTAATTGAGGACTGAGTCCTGGGAACTCTTGACAGTGGAGGAGGAACCAGGAAAGGTGGCTAAAAGGGAGCAGTTAGGTGGGAAGAAGACGGAGGGGTGGGGAGTACAGGGGAAATTTGATCTGGGATCTGAGTGACAGGCAAAAGTAAAGTTTCAAGGATTGATATGGTTGAATGCTGCTGAGAGAGTGAGATGAGATGAGAGAGAAAACTTCGTGTATTTTTTTTTTTCTGAGGTTGCTGTAACAATACCACAAATTGTATGCCTTACAACGACTTTGTAATGCATGGCTTACAAATTTATTCCTTTAAAATTCTGGAGGCCAGAAGTCCAAAATCTGGCAGGGCTGCCTTCCCTCTGGGAGGCTCTACTAGACAATACATTCCTTCTCTCTTTCAGCTTGTGGTAGCTACCCCAGCATTCCAGGCTTAGTGATCATACTCCTCCAGCTCTACCTCTGTCTTCACATTGCCGTCTCCTCTGTGTCTCCAAACTTCCTTTCACAGAATGGGCCCACCTGGGTAAATCAGGTTAAGGTCAAATTAATTCATGTGCAAAGACCTTTTTTCCCAAGTAAAGTTAGATTCCAGGGATTACACATAAGAGTGATCCTAATCCTAATTTGATATTTTTGGGTGGCCATTATTCAACCAACTATATCTGGTTTTAGAAACATGGTAGCCATTGGAGATCTTAATAGGCACAGTTTCTTTGAAACAGTTGGGACGTAAGAGAATCATATTCACCTTTATGTTTGCTGCCAAGTAAAGAGAGCTCTATTGTCTTTCCCAAGGCTGTGCAGGTTGATCACACTGCTTTTTCATGAGCAATTAGTAGTTGTATGCCTGTGGTTATTAGCTTTAAGTTTTACATGTTGAATTTTAAAAAGAAGCAAAGTTCTCAGAAGCCTCTCAGTTTTTTCAAGTTCTGTGTGCTGAACTATATGATCCAAGTTGGCATTACCAGTGGCCATTATTTCTGTACCCAAAAATCTCATTTATTTCAGATTACAGATATCTTTGCTTTGATTAATAATATAAGTAGCTTCATTATTTCTTTGATAATGTGATTGATAACCATGTTGCTGAACAATTCCTACTCAGAAAGTAGAATGGATGTTAATTTAGGTAATATATGGATATAATGGGTTTTTAAAGTAGACAAACTGTCTGAAGAGAGAGAGGTAAGAGGATGCAGAGAAAATTCCTGTTTTGCCATCTTTTTTCCTTACCAGCTTTGTGAAACAGATGTCAGAACTGGCACACTTGGAGGTGAGCTGCCCTCAGTTCTCTGCAGGCTTTCCATGATTCCTGTTGGACAGTGGGGAGTAGCAGAGGTGAGAAGTCACCTCTGACTCTGTGGCACTGCATGGACAAGAAATAGTGACCACATCTGGAAGAGGCCTGTTCCCTGGGGGGAGTTCTAATAACAAAGGAATTCCTTCATCCCCAGTTCTTCCTAGAGTGGAAACTGAAATGACAGGCAACCTTAGATGGCTTCTCTGTGTATCTATGTGTAGGTGTATTTGGAGGGGAGGGCAGGATTGTACTTCCTCCAGATGAAAGACTTTATTGATTACCAGAGCTGAATTCCTTAGTTGTGGGACTGTTCTGTAAAACTAGCAGAGTGCTGACTTGGAATTTATGTGTTCCCTTCAGTTTCTTTATTGGTGGGGGCAGAGGCTCTAGTTAAGCATGGTGAAAAGAACACAGTTAGGCAGACCAGGTTCATCCATTTACTTGTTCTGTACCCGTGGAAAGTTGTATTCCCTCTTGGAACCTCTGTTTTCTTATTTGGTTAAGTGGGGCTTGAAGGCATCTGGTATATTGTTATGTAATAGGTATGTAATGTCAGATTCCACCATTAATGCACTCTTTTGTGTGTTTATACATTTTTATTCATTTATTGATACCTGGATTTCTTTACAGCCTTTGATGTCTTTATATTAAGCAGGGTCCTAAAGAAAGATCCACCTGTTAAAATAGCATCTCTTTTGGGAAAGAGAGGTAATGACCACCTCCCACCCCCGGTTTTGTCACCCAGTGACAATTCCTAACCATTAGATTTTGGGTTCCAATACATTGGACTCTCATTAATTGTAAAATTTACTAAGGCTGACAGAAGAAAGTTGGCTTATTCCATTTGTAGGAGCAGTTCTGGGCAAAGATAAAATATTGGGAGGGGAGTGGTTGAAGAATGAGGCTGTAAATAGTCAACTTATCCAACATAGTGTATTGTAGGAGGTTTTTGGAAGAAAACTGTAGAAATGTGTACACTTGGAAGGGAATCAGGAAGGGCAAACAGCAATGAGAACTTAATGGACAAATTATTACCAATTGCCCAACATGTTGTGCCTGGGTTGCTGTGTGGTGCCAGGTGCTGTGAACAAGGGGTGGTCTTCAGAGTTGACTCAGACCAAAGGTCATATACTTGGCTGCATTTCTCCAGCTGTGTGACCTTGGATAAGCTGCTCACCTGTCAAATGGGAATGAAACTCTCATGTCCTTGATTTCCTAAGAGCTCTGAATTTAATAATACCTTGGAGGAGGTGGTGAGAACCTTTCCTCATTAAATTATTCATCACTTGTAGCCAATTGTATGTTTCCTAGTTGTATAATTTTTAATGTGATTTTTTAAAAAGTGCATTTTAGAAGCAAAGCAGTATGTTCATGCCCATCTCATGGATGTTAGGAAGATTAATAAGATAATGTATGTTAAGTGCCCATCTGAGTTAGTATTCAGTGACTTGTAGCTATTATTAACAGATGAAAGGGCATGAAAAATAATTTGTGAACATCTGAAGAAAGAATTTTAAACACGTTCATAATGTGACCAGGATCTTAAATAGGACTAGAACAAGGGGAAAGAAGAGATAAAACTTCAGGTAATATATAGAGGTAAATGAGTATCTGAGCAGAAAGTTTGACCCCTTTATAGACAAAATTTGTATTGTAGTGATAACTTTGTGGTTTATGTTCCAGGGTGAATGGAGGGAATGTGCTAAACATGAGGGATAAATTGACTCCTGTGTAATCATATGGGCATATTATAGTATTTCTGAACTTGGTGTCTAAGCTGCTAATCACAAAAAAATAAAGCATTGGATAACTGTCAGATAACAAAGTGTTTTGTTGTGGGGGAGGGGTGGCTGGTTAGGGACTTACATTAGTCTATTAGTTCAGTTGCCTGGCCAGGAAATTCTTTGCCTACGTTTCAACATCTTCATGTTTTGATTAGAGTGATACTGAATTTTTAGCTCTTCTTTCTTTTTTTTCTTTTTTTTTTGCCCCAGGTCCAGCAAGACTATGAACCTCTGTTCCAAATGCTTTGCTGGTAAGTGCAGAAAAAGGGTTTTTTATTTATTTTCATTTTTCTTCTTTTGGTTGTTTTTAAGATTATCTAAATCATTTGGCCCTCCTTTGTGTCTATGCATGGGGTTTTGTTTTCTTTACTTGTGTGTGAGAGCAGTTTCTCCTCCCCAAGGTGCTTCATGTATTTGCCTAGGACTATTGAAACAGTCTTCGCTGAGTGAAATGAAATCTCATTTGTACTTGGCACCAGACTGACTTTCCTTGGTATATAGTTGTTGGCATAGAGTGTAATTGTAAAAACTTGTAATAGGGTAATAGGTGTTCATCTCTGACCTTGACTAGAATGATTAATGGTGAATGTTGGTTTTACTTATGAAAATACAAGAAAAATAATATTTTCCTGTTGGAGTCAGGAAGAGAATCATGCTGAATTAGCCCTTTCTAATCCAATCCCTCATGAAATCACCTTGGGTAAGTCACTTAATCTCTTTGGATCTTAGATTCATCGTGTGTAAAATGAAGGGCTTGGGTTTGATGTTTGCTCAGGGTCCATTCCAAGCCCCAAATGCTGATTGGTTGACTCCTTTTTGTTGTTTACATCTTCTTCATCTTTTTTTTTTTTTTAAAGAAATTTATATCTAATGATCTTACATAAAGTAACTCTTTACTCATTGAGATATATTTAACTTTCCCTCCTCATCACTTCATTTTGTCAAAGATAAAGCCAGACACTAGTTAAAGTGGTAAGGACAGTTTTTAATCACTAATACACTACTGCAGTGGGTAAGAGGGCCAGTGTGAACTGAACTCAACCTCGTTTTGTGCAAACATGACTGGGTATTTTAAAGAGAGAATGAGGAATAGGGAGGGGTTGCTAGCTTGGCTCAGTGGAGTCAGGGAAGTGAAAAATAACAAAAGATTGGTCACTGTAAATGATGACTAAGCTGTTTTTTCTGGGAGCTGACAATTGGAGGTTAGGATTCTACAAAGACTGAGAGACTGAGGGTCCTCCCTATTCTTCCTGATGATTACATTTTAAAGGAATGGCTTCCATGTCCTTGACTTAAGATATCGGAGTTGTAGGAAATGTATACATATCTCAAAGGGACAAAAGAAGGATTCAGAGTTGCAAACCCTTTTTAGTAAATGCTCTAAGACGGGTCTGTAGTCAAGTTTGGCCAGAACAAACCTTAAATTCTTTTGGCAGCTTTGAGCTTTCTCAGACAGATACTTTATGATGGGCTAGGATCATTCTAGGGATGGGGCCTTGAGCTATTAGAAACTGTTAATATTTGCTTAAACCTTTAAATGTTCAAGGAGGGGGAGGGGGGTAGGTGAAATAATTTACATTGTGATTCTAGTTTTTATAGGCCAAGGTTGTGGCCTAGTTGAGAAGAGGGCTCAGAGGAATCTGGCTAGAGTTTGGTTGAATGAATCTTTTGTCAATTTTTGTTTTTTTCTTTATTATGCTATTTGGGCAAGGAAATAATCATAATTAATGTAAGCTTTAGAACTTTCTTTAGACCTAATTTTTATGCCTAAATTACAGGATAGGTAGGAAGGAGTTGGGATGGTTGGCAAGTTGGCAGTGTATTGTTTAAAGTTGGAATTTGTCAAATACATTAGGTCTTTAAAAGGAAAAAAATATTGGTAAGTTTGTTTTTTATTCGACTTTTAACAATATCTCTGCCATGTTAAATGAATGTATTCTGCTTTTCTTACTCACATATCTACAATTACAGTTATCAAGAAATGCTTCCTCACTGATGAGAGTTTAACTTTATAGTAAAGATGAAAGTAGCAACAGGACAAAATGTATAGTAGATTGTGTGACTGTCTCTATGTAGAGCTAGCACCCCCCCTTAGAATTCAGTAAGGTATGTCTTTGGGAGAAGGCCAGGCACCTTGGACTAAGGTGGTTCACATCGGATACTCAAAAGAGCTGTCTCATATCCCTAACTAAATATGAAATAAAAAAAAAACTCACCAGTGAAAACAGTTCACTCATGGTTTTTGCATTTCATTGGACCTGTTGCAGTTTTATTTTCTATGGTTGTAATTATTTATTGTCTTTCTGGTGATTTGTGTCCATTTATTCTTACACAGCTTTGCCATTTTCACTTTTAAAAATATTAAGGGGATATTTTCAAGTATGCAAGTAAAATACTATCTTTCTTTCCTCTTTATCTTTATCCCCACACTCCTAATGGCCCAAAATCATTTGAAAGGAATGACAGGTAACATTCTGCTTGCTGAAGCAGCATTTGGTGTTCTTTTTGGAATTCAAAAGAAAACAGATTGTGGAACCTTAAAGATACAATTGTTCTTGTATGAACATAGAGTATAGAAACGAATTATTGTAGCAGAAGCACAAGATGTGCAAGACAACATGATTATTTTGGCCAAAGCCACTGTGATTTTAAATACTCTTAAAATAGATCACAAAGCATTACTGTGTACTTTTAAAAGATGGAAAAATCTCTTTAGAAATAGCTATTCTGTATGTACCATTAGGTTAGCTGGAGATTTGTAAAGGTTCTTTTTCAAAATAAATCTGTGTGGTGAAAAAGTGAGTTTGTTATAACTTGCTTACATAAAATTGAATGAAATGAGTGAAAACATGTTAAAGTCTTGTTGACGGAGTAGAGTACTAGGTTAGGAACTGTGGGTGGTGGTTTTAAGTTAACTTTGACAAACTGTTTGCCTTAGATGACTTGTTCTACCAAATGGTGAACACACGCCCCCAAACCACTATCATCACTAAAGGTATTTTCCCTTTTCTTTATAAAAGACCCTGGGCTGTTTGAGGCCAGGCGAAGGGAGTGAGAAGGGAAAGGAAATGAGTATAAAAGTCAGAGTTACCAAAAAAACATTGAAATATTAGTTGCTGGTAAATTATATACCAAATAATAAGAGTTTTCTCTGTACGGTTAGAATAACAAATGTTTGCGTCAGCCAAGCCCTTTGCATGTATATGGAAGTGTGTCTTTTCCACCCTGGTTGGAACCTGATCATGACCCATTAAAATATTTAAAATAATGTGTGATAGGTTGTGATGTAAGTATATATTACTGTGGGGTATAGTTTACAAATCCAACCTGGCTGGATCTGCTATTCCTAAAGGCCCAAAGCCCATCCAAAGTTCCTCTGTTTGAAATGGGAGGGTATTATTTTTATTTTTTAACTCCCTCATCTTGAATACTGGTTTGGCCTGGCTGAAGTCATTTAAGATCATTTGGAGTTTTTTCCACAAATGTGTGATATGTTTCTTTCCTAGCCTTAAGATGCCTTTAACTTGAAGACCCTTATCATCCAGGATTTTCTGTGCTAGGATCACTAGTTCATTTAAAGGAGTTATTTTGGGAAAGGACCAAGAAATGACTGACTGTAGTGTTATGATTTGATGTACAATGGATTTAAAATGCTCTTCTGGATTCTCTATTATCTGAAGTTTAGTCTTTAAAAAGATAAAGGGCAAGAGTGTATTTCACCAAAGTGTATTTTCCCATTTCTGTATTTTTTTTTCCTGCTTACCCCATCAGTCCCATTTTCATATGGTCTATATTTTCCTTCCTCAAATTACAATTCTGTACATTGGTTTGGTAATTTGGATACATCTTTCTTAATGACTATTCTGTGAGCAGAAGTGAGACACCTGCAGTTTGGGCAAGGATTCTCCCACCTTTGAGTTAATGTATTGTCCTTTCTAGTTTAGAGTCCTATTTATTTATTTATTTATTTGTTAATCAAGGTATCATTGATAGATACCCTTATGAAGGTTTTACATGAAAAACAATGTTCCTACTACATTCACCCATATTATTGAGTCCCCCATACCCTGTTGAAGTCATTGTCCATCACTATACTAAGATGCCACAGAATCACTACTTGTCTTCTTTGTGCTACACTGTCTTCCCCATGTGTGCCAATCATAATACCCTTCAATCCCCTTCTCCCTCCCTCCCCACATGCCTTCCCCCACCCCTACCCCTTGGTAACCACTAGTCCCTTCTTGGAGTCTGAGTCTGCTGCTGTTTTGTTCCTTCAGTTTCGCTTTGTCATTCATTATACTCCACAAATGAGGGAAATCATTTGGTACTTGTCTTTGTCTGCTGGTTTCCTTCACTTAGCATAATACCTTCTAGCTCCACCCATGTTCTTGCAAATGATAGAGTTTGTTTCATTCATATGGCTGAATAGTATTCCATTGTGTATATGTACCACATCTTCTTTATCCATTCATCTACTGATGGACACTTAGGTTGTTTCCATATCTTGGCTATTGTAAATAGTGCTGCGAGAAACATAGGAGTCCATATGTCTTTTTGAATCTGAGAAGTTGTATTCTTTTTTTTAATCTTTTTGCTATCATTAATCTACAATTACATGAAGAACACTATGTTTACCAGGCTCCCCCCCTCACCAAGTCACCCCCACACACCCCACTACAGTCACTGTCCATCAGCGTAGCAAGATGCTGTATAATTGCCACCTACCTTCTCTGTGTTGTGCAGCCCTCCCTGTACCCCCCACAACACTATACATGCTAATCGTAATGCCCCCTTTCTTTTTCCCCGCCCTATCCTTCCCTTCCCACCCATCTTTCCCAGTCCCTTTCCCTTTGGTAACTTAGTCCATTCTTGGGTTCTTTGATTCTGCTGCTGTTTTGTTCCTTCAGTTTTTCTTTGTTCTTATACTCCACATATGAGTAAAATCATTTGGTACTTGTCTTTCTCTGCCTGGCTTGTTTCACTGAGCATAACACCCTCTAGCTCCATCCATGTTGTTGCAAATTGTAGGATTTGTTTTCTTCTTATGGCTGAATAATATTCCATTGAGTGTATGTACCACATCTTCTTTATCCATTCATCTACTGATCTTGGCTATTGTAAATAGTGCTGCGATAAACATAGGGGTACATCTGTCTTTTTCAAACTGGGCTGCTGCATTCTTAGGGTAAATTCCTAGAAGTGGAATTCCTGGGTCAAATGGTATGTCTATTTTGAGCATTCTGAGGAACCT